ATTTAAAAGTCAGTCTCATTTATTCCCTTATGGAAAGCAGAGGCATTTAAAGTATTTATCTTTCTTGTATCCATATATTCTGCACATCGTGTTTATGAAAGGATCAGAGAGGAGAAATGCAATTTTGGTTTCCCTAATGTTGAGGGTCGCTATGAGTCACAAACAACTCGACGGCACATAACGACAACAACAACAACGACAATCTTGAGAAGAGAGGCAGACCCTCGATGAGATGGAGTGATTCAGTAGCTGGGGTAATTGGGGGGTAGGTGTGTCAGAGACAGTAAGACTGGAACAGGATAGAGCAGGGTTTAGAGCTGTTGTACATAGGGTCGATATGAGCCAAGTAAGTAGCAAGTGACTTGACAGCACATAAAAACAACAACAACAATCTTGAAAAGTAAAAATGGTTAAAAAGAATGGAGGGGAAAACATGATACAATGTTTGAGATTTTTCCTATACAAATGAATAGTAATAATAATAGTATTACAGATTGAAAGAGATTCTAGGTTTGGAGACTACATTCTCTCTTGGACTCTAGAATGGAAAGAGATTTTTATGAGAGGTGAAATACGGATCTACTTCTTGAACACATAAACTGTGGGAAGAGCTGAAGTAAAGAGGTAAAAGGTCGTCATGGAAGAATCACTGTTGCTCTGATGCCTCATTCCAAAACCTCAGGCTTCCTTTGACAACTTCCATAATACGTTTATTCACAACTTTATGGAAAAGCTGCCATGCTTTAGCTATGGATCTCTGTTCTTTTCTGTGACACATATGATCCCAATGAGCTGGAACTGACTCAGTGGCTATGAGATTATTTGCTAGCTGGCTTATTTTTAAAAAGGATGAGAGGGAGGAGGGAAGGGATAGTCACTGTTTAGTGTATATTATTGTTATTCACTGAGTTAACTCACAGCTGATGCTTCAGTGGATTTTCAGAGATTACAGACTGCACTGGAGGAGACTGCCCGTCTTTCTCCAGCAGAGCAGCTGGTGGATTTGAACCACCTGTTTTGAGGTTAACAGCACAAATCCATACTCACTAGGCTGCTGAGAGGGTTCAGAATTTCTGCGAATTATGGTGGAATAACTTGCAAATGGATAGATAGTTTTAATGGTTGCACAGTAAGATGAACAAAATAATTGTCAATGGATTATACTTGCAAATAATGTTGAATGGCATTTTGTGTTTGTTATACATATTTTTGCCATAATAAAACAAGTTGTCATGTTTTAGTATCTGCTGCCCCAAAGTGTGATCAATCAACCCACACAGCTTCCACACAGGCTTAAGGCATGTTCATTCATATACAGTGGAATTCTAACACAGGATCAAAACAAGTCTAGTATTTTGAGGCTGCATCAATATTCGACATTGATGATCAAGGGCTGAAACCATTGCTCTTAGTCCTTCGGTTATTTAAGACAGAATTTTTGGATTAGAGATACAATTACTCTGAGCCAACAATGAAATTCTACTACACTTAACTTTACAGCCAGAGTGTTAGTATGTATCTATAGATCTTGAGAACAGGGTTAACTTCTGCAAGTAAAACTAGAAATTATCAGTATAAAATAGATTAAACTATCTCTGGCAAAGTAGCTGAACTTAGGCAAAATAAAATGGTGAGAACATAGAGAAGGCCTCATTTATGTCAGCAGATGACAGGGTTAGGGGGCCATGATGGTAAGAAATAGCTAGAACAAATGACAGTAAAACCAGGCTTAAGTGAATCTGGATCTTCTTTAGTTGAAGATCTGTTAATAGTGGGATTTTGTCCCCCTAGGAAATTAGTGCCCTGAGTAAAAGAATCTGGTTCTTTAAAATAAGTAAACACCTACCATGGAAATAAACAGAAGATACTGGCTAGCAAAGCTCAGTGATTCAAGCCCAGGGATTTTCAATGCCTGTTTTTGCAGCAATATCTAATAAGATGCTTAATAAAAATAAGAGTTCTGTGGCCTAGTTTCTATGTCCCTTTCTACAGATTCTTAAGAAATACTGACTTCTTTCTCAGGCTCCCTCATTTCAATAAATACCAGAATTTACTTAACATAAAAACCAGAAATCTAGGCCTGATCTGCAATTCTTTTCTCTCCATCATTTCAACAATCAATCATGTTTAAGACTTGTTTATCCAACCCCCAAAATACATCTTGAATTGATCCATCTCCATATAGGTTTCCATCACGTTAATCCTACCCACTGTCATCTTCTAAGAGACCATAATAAGCCTCTTATATGGGGTCCTTTCTTCCACTCTTGCTCTCCATTGTTCATTCTCCAAAGAGGACTAAAAGCAATCTTTAAAAGTGTGAATCAAAACTAACCAGCTTCTCTCCAAGACCTTCCTATCATTTCCTGTCACTTTTAGAATGAAATCTAAACTCTTTACCCAGCACTCTGAGGCAGCCTTGACCCTTGCATAGCATGGTATAACTCCAGGGACCTCCAGTCACACTGACTTCTTTCAATTTAATGACAGCACCCACCACCTCACCCACCAAACTCTGCCCATGTAGCCTGCTTTCTGCCTCTCCAACATGCCCAGCTTATTCTAGTAACAGTGCCTCTGCATCAACTGCCCCTCTGTCTGAAATGTGCTACAACTGGCCTTTGCATGACTAGCTCCTGGTCATTTAGATGGCCACTTCTGTGCCATCTGCTCAAAGACCTTCCCATTAGCTCAACCTCAAGTAGTGAGCCAGCCCCTCTGATTGTCATTATTTTATTATTGTACTCATCAATATATCAATTCCTTCATCACCACAGGATCTTGCACAGATGCCAGATGAGATGGATTGATTCAGTGACTGGCGTAATGGGGGTAGGTGTGTTGGAGACAATGAGACTGGCGCAGGATAGAGCAGAGTTCAGGGCTGTTGTACATAGGATTGCTATGAGTCACAGGCGACTTGACGGCACATAACAAAAACAGCCCACCAATAACTAATATGTTATCCTGTTTGTTTGCTAATTTTTATGCCTCACCTAATAGTCTACAGACTGTAGACACCTTGGCTGTGCTGGGATCCCTAAAGTGCCTATGGCAGTGTCTGGCACATAGAAGGCACTTATATATTAACCAGACAAATGAATAACCATAAGCAGACTGAAAGTTTTGAATAGGTCTGCAGCAACAGTGGTAACAATCAGATTATTCCATTTTTGGTCCCCACATGACCCTTTGTCTGCAATATAACCCTAGTCAACATCCAGGGAATAAGCATGATGCAGAAGACAGTGTGGAGAAGGGTGTCCTGACCATCCCAGTGACCCAGGGCCACCAGGGAGCTGTTGATCAGGAAAGAGTCCATGCAGCCTCTCCCACTGGGAATGAGCCTGGCTGTTGGCTGTGCCTTCCTCATTGCAAGTCCAGGCACGTCTCCATCCCACAAATTTCCATTATGTGAACTGGATATAATTGGATAATTAATTAGGGGGGCTGATTTACATTATGCCCATCACTGCTGATTTCAACATCATCACAACTGAGGACCATCATGGCTCCTGGGAAGAAAGCTGTAGCCACGTAAAAGGCAGCTGCTTTGTGTGGGCAGCTTTGAGCTTTGCTCTACGCTACAATGGACGGTAAAGGGTATCAAGGTGTGCAGAAAGCCCGCTGCTAATTAAAGCTGCTGCGCTGGACGACTGGAAAAGAGAGGTCATTCCTCTTCAGCAAACAGTAGATTAAGGCAAGTCATCAATTTGTGCAGTGACATTTAGGCTTAACAGCTAAAAGTTTATGGCTTCAGAAAAAGCAACAATTAGAAACTTTCTGAAGAACCGGATCCTGCAAATACTCTAGTTCCATCTTCTGCCTTTCCACCTCCCCCCCACCCCCCATGAAACCAAATGTTTTTCAAGGCAATCTTCTGATTAAGCAGAGTTGCTTGGGAATTTAACCCCTCTCACTTGTTACAAAGTGGACAGTGATGAAGCCAGCATTCTGCTTAGACATGACTGGCTGGTGAACCTGAAAAGCAAGCATCAGTTCCTCTAAGAATGCCAATAAAACCTAGATCCAATCCTGCAAAGCAGAGGCCCAGCTCTGCATGGGGGAACCTCCTGACATCTTGTCCTGTTCTCTAAGCTTAAAAAAAATCCAGTCACATTTACTGGTACCCACCTACCAGTGGTGGGGACTTAAGAAAACACAGACACGTTTACTGATAGCCATCCTCATTTGTGGATGTTCCCCCCTCAAGAAAAGTGACTGTTCTCCTTCTCTGCTGAAAGCCATTCCCCACATATCTCCCACGGCCTGTTTCTCTCTGATGAACAGATGCAGCAACTAGAAAACTTCTGTCTCCTCTTATTACCCTCATGTGCAACACTGAATACCCAGCTCATGGACACACATGCACAGGGTTTTTAAGCCATCCCATAGCTGAAGAGTCTATCATAATAGCCCTACAGAACAAAGCAGAACTGCTCCCCAAGGCTGTAAACCTTCACAGGAGCAGACAGCCACATCTTTCTCTTGAAAGACTGTGAGTCTGAAACACTGGTCCTTTGGTTAGAAGGCTGGCACTCTTAACCACTGTACTACCAGGGCTGTACCACCAGGGCTTCTTGAAGCCTATTCTGTTGCTGGTAGGTATTCTTGAATAGACTATGTGTGACTCATAGTGACTCTATGAGCAACAGATCTGAACCTTGCCCTATCCTGCGCTACTATTAACAATTATAGTCATTTCTATTTTAGGGGCTATTTATTGCATATGAAGGAGCCTTGCAAACAAGCGTGTATAATAGGCCAGAGTTACGAAAGGAGCAGCTAATTAGCTCTGGCTCCTGGCAATTCTGACCTATAAAAACACATATCTCCGCCAGGCACAGAAAGTGGCCTCACTGCATCCATTTCAAGGTCATGCTAATTCCGCATGAACTCTCAGTAGCTCTGAGCACTGAAGCAGCTCTGCTGGAAAACACATTTGGTCTGGGCCAGACTCTGGTTGGTGTAGAGGAAGACAGACGGTAGAGGGGTCCCACCTGGACTGCATTTCAGCTTGTGCTTTTGACTGCTGATGGAGCACAGGTTGGTGTGGCTGGTGAGGCTGGCACGGGGCTTGGGGAGTGGCTGGCACCTGTTGCTGAGGCGTGCCAGCCTGGCCCTGGGAGGGGGTGCCAGCTGGCTGGGACCCGGCGGTTGGCAGTGGCGAGGAGAGGTGCTGCTTCTGTGGCTGCTGCTGTTGCTGCTTGTACCGGGAGAGGCTGAAGAAGAGGCCTAGGATGGCCTTGAGATTTCCATTCCTGATTTCTGGAAGACAATGAAAAGACTGTTAGGTGTGGAGCCCTTCCCCCTCCCGCTCAATGGGCTTCGGCCCTCACACAAGTTTAATACCTCGAGGATATGAGAGACTTCCTGAACACCCAATTGGAATCACAGTCAATTAAAGTCAGTTCTAAACCACAAGGAAGTTAAATGATTTTCCCCATCTTCCCACTGGCTTTACAGTGAGTGCGCAGGCGAGTTGTAACTGTTAAGACTGGAAACACCACAAGAAAAACTGAAGGATGGGGTATACTGATTTGAACTGAGTCTTAAAAAGTTGGGTGAAGCTGAACAATAACAGAAACAGGAAAAATTATGGGGCAAATCTTGGAATGGGATAAGGAGGCATAGTGACCTTTTTTAAGAACCTGTTGCAGAAGAGACTGGCACACTGCCAGGGCTACGGAGAGCAACACACATGGCATGGTCCATCATCATCTTTGAGTAGGACACCGCTATTTGTAACCTTGCTGATCAAGAGACTTGGTTGTTAGGGAATGTGCTTGTTTCCAAAGAGGGAGATGATGTTTCTAGTAGGGTATCAATCTGTAATTTTCCCTGTTCAGGTTACTATTCTGATTAACTCACATTTTACAATTCAGGTTCATTCCAGTATTATTTCATTGGTCATGACTTACTGGGGGGAAAACATTTTTATGGCCGGGTAAGAAGACAATGGAAAAAGAAAGACCATGTTTGTACAGACAAAGCAACCTATCCAGGAATGAAGGCTCTCCTACTGGGGGCAGAGGGAGAGCAGGCGATGCTGAGGAGACACTCTGGTCTTAACACAGTTCTGCCAAGTCCTTCTTGAAAGCTCTGCACCACCATGGATGTACCAAGTAGCTGCTATCCTGCTCTAAAATCTTTGCTCCCCTTCATGTCTTCCTTCTCTCAAATACATGATTATGCATCTTAGATCCAATGCTTAAGTGTCTTACATTTAGGATAGAGGTGCACGTGGTCTACAAAGACTTGTTTCCATAAAGAACTCACACATACAACTTCTCTTATTTTATATTAAAAGAAATTAAAACAGGGCGGGGATCCAAGTATTTCTATTCTCGACATTTTTTTTCAGATGTTAAAAAATGCATTTGCCTCAAGGCATGCATAAAAAGTTACAGAGAAGGAATAAAATATTTACGCACGGGCTGAGGCTCTGAGTGCAACCATGTTTTTCCTTTGGCAATCTATTCATTTATGCAGCTTTTCAAACACCAGATGCTGGGGAACAGGGTCCGAATTAGCCCTATGGGTAAAGCAGTAGGGCCACCCAGCATGGTGGATGGACAAGAAATCTTGGCGGGTGGGGTGGATACTCAGCTCCCTCTGCTCTGCTAACAGCCCTTGATTTGCTGCTAGACTGTATATCGAGCTGACAAGAGAAGTAAAGCTGAGGGCGTTGCAATGCACTGAGTTACCCCTCCACGTCCAAGGAAAATTCTGTGCACAACAGAGCAAAATGCTGTCTGGACCACTGGGAGCCAGCGCTGTAATGTTCTCTACCTCCAGGGGTTTGTTCTGTAAAAATGTCTTTTCTTTATCAAGGCATCTCCATAACTGGCTGGAGATTCAATGGTTGTGATCCATATAGTTTTCACAAGCAGATCACGAAATCTTTTTCGTAATCTTCATCTAGAAGCTCCACTGAAACCTGTTCAACAGCATAGCAGCACTCAAGCCTCTACAGGTGAATGGGTGTCGGCTGTGCATGAGATGCACTTGCCAAGAACTGAATCTTGAGTCTCTTGCATGGAAGAGACATTCTTCTTCCAAACCAGAGCCCTAATAATAATAATAATGCATGAGTAACATTCACCTCCATGTTAGCCCCAGGGCAGAGAAGCAGCTTTCTCCCAAAAAGCAGATTATTGGTAAATGCTGTTGAGTCCAATACAACTAAAGTGACCAGTCCTGTCCTGCGCCATCCTCATCATCTCCGACACACTCAAACCCATTGCTGCAGTTACTATCTCAACCCATCTCATTACGAGTCATCCTCTCTTTTGCTAACCCTCTACTTTTTCAAGCCTGATTTCCTTTTCTGAGGAACAGCCTCTCCTAGAAACATGCCTACTATGTGTAAGACAAAGCTTTACCATCTTTGCCTCTAAGGAGCACACGGGCTGCACTTTCCCCCCAAGACATCTGTTCTTTAGGTAATCCACAACTCAAAGGCATCAATTCCTTTTCTGTCATCCTTATTCACAGTTCATCTCTCAGATGCACAGCAAGTGACTGAAAAGACCCTGGCCTGAATCAGAGACTCTTCAGTCTTAAATTGACATCCTTACTTTCAGTAATTTGGAGAGGTCCCTAAAAGCAGATTTGCCCAATATAATACGTCTCCTGATCTCCTGACTGTTGGTATCAAAAGTGTTGACTGTGGATCCAGCTACTCTCCTTTCAGTCAGCATCCATGGTTGCACAACAAGGATCCTTTGGTTTTAACTAAAATTATTGAGTATCATGCAAACCCTGGCATTTTTGAGAGTGGAAAAAATCATTATTAATTATGCCAGGCCAACAGTAGCAAACCGGGCTGGCATGCAAAATCAGGAAGAGAGCATCACAGTCACTGCCATGTAAATGGATTCAGAGCCAGAAGCAAGGAATAAGCGCACTGGAGTAGAGATCTGAATCTAAGATTTTCTGGCTCAAAGCATGGCCTGACACTGCATAATTTGGCTTACCTATACAGCCTGCTGAGTGGTGAATTTCAAAGCATACCTACCTGTTTTGTTTATTAAGTTAGCTGGTGAGAATTTAACTATTCTTTCTCTTTTGGTTCATCAAACATTCCATGATACTCAAAGAAACAACTAGGCCACAGCAACTAATAGATCATAAAAACTATCTCTTCTACCAGCCTGAGACCAGACTGGTGAACTAGATGGATCTGGCTACCACTGGTGACCATCTGACCAGGATCACAAAAGAAGGTAATGGACAGAGTAGATTAAAAAAAATGTAGATCAGAATTTAAAACAGAAGGCCAGACATTGTGCTCTGAGATAGAATGGTGAAGCCTCCCTCACACCTCACAAACACGGCCCTTTGATGGTCCTCAAAGGTGGAACTGAGCCCATTTTTGGAGATCATTTTTTAGTCATACAATAGACCCATAATTTGTTCCACCCAAGAGTAACATAGTTCTCAGAAAAGTCAACCATATGAGATCAACAGGGCAGTATTCGCCCCCAAAACAAAGTTCAGAAGGCAGGAAAGAAGGGTCAATGAAACAGGGGACCCAGTGAGGAAGCGGAGAGCTGCTGTTACACTGAGGGGATTCCAGCTAATGCCATGAAGCAAAAATGGGTACAAACTGACTGGGTTGAACGGGAAAGTAATCTGTTCTGTAAACTTTCACTCAAACCACAATAAACTTTCAAGGGAAAAAAAAATTCTTATGATGCATATTTTAAACAAGAAAACAAAAAGGAAGAAACAATAGTTTAGTATAACCAGGAGCTGTCCACTGCAGAGAATAGGGCTGCCTGGGTCAGCACCCACCCTCCCCGGACCATATCAGCTAGAGACAAGTACCCATCTTTGCTCTGAAGAAGTCTCTCCTGGAGGCCATTGCTGCAATTTTCTCTACATCCAGGGGTTGTTAAGTTTGCTCCATCAGTTCTGTAAAATGCCTTTTAATTTATTAAACAGCACAGTGTTCCCAGAAGAATATTTTTTGGGGGAGGCAGCTAAAAAGACTTGGGTTTGAATCCCTAAAATTCACCATTTATAGGCTAACTTGTTTCAGATTAAACCTCAGTGAACTTTAATTTTCTTCTTTTTTAAAACAAGGATATGCCTTGTATCACTTTTTACTCAATGTATCATGAAAAATCATGTGATGATATTCACTCTATAATACAGGTGATCTTTGAAAATATTATGCTGAGAGAAATAAGTCAATCACAAAAAAAAATTTCATGACCCCACACATATGAAATATCTAGAATATACATGTACATAGAAACAAGTGGTTACCAGGAGGAGAAAGAGCCCCAATGCTCACACAGTTAAACATTTAACTACTAAGTGAAAGGGCGGAAGTTCAAGCCCACCACTGTCTCCAAAGGACAAAGATTTGGCCATATGTTTCAGCAAAGACTCCCGCCAAGAAAACCCTCAGGGACCATTTTACTCTGTCATATGCAGTTGTTAGGAGTCAAAAATAGTCCCACAGCACTTAACAACCACCATCACAAACAGAGACAAAAGGGAGGAAAAAGAGGAAGTCTTGTTCAGGAAGCATTGAGTATTTGTCAATAATGACAGAAACGTGGCACTGGACACTGGTGATGGTTACGCAACATGAAGACTGTAATCAGTGTCATTTAGCTGTACATGTAGGTCATAGCGAAGCAGAAAATGAAAAGATTCAAAGCTGTCAAAGATTTCATTTCACATGAATCCACAATACCTATCACAGGAAGCAGCAGTCAAATAACAATGGAAAAAAGAGCAATGGGAAAATTTATTGGCAAGGATGTCTTTAAAGTAGTAAAGAGTGTGGATTATGAAATATCTAAAAAAAGCATGTGTATAGAAGCTTGTTTCTATAGGCACGTATACAAGTTTCTATATACACACCTTCAGTTTAAAGACTAAGGCGTATCTAACTTAAACCATAGTATTTTCAATTGCTTCATATGCATGTGGATCCTAGCAGGATGAAACTGTTAACCTGTTCTGTTCAATATTCTCTACATTTATTATGATATTGCCAATTGGCCCAGTGGCAAAGATTTTTGTTTTCTTGATGCTGAGGTGTAATCCTCATTAAAGGCTAGAGTCTTTGACTTTTTACAATAAACCCCTCAGGTTCTCTGTGCTTTAAACCCACAAAGGTCTGTCATTTGCATAACACAGGTTGTGATGAGTTTTTCTCTGATTCTGATGCTACAATTTTTTAAAACAATAGGTCCAGCTTCTTGAATCATTTGCTCTGCACACAGAATAGATATGGAGAGAGGATG